TTGTTATATCCCTTGTTGATTCTAATAGAGTTACTTTTTTTTAAAAAAAATTCAATTTTAAGTAAGAAAAAACTTTTTAGAAAATTAAACAAGTCTTTAATTAAAATTTAATCTCTACTACTAACAAACAAAGAGAATTTTAAACACGAATTTCTTACACGTATAATGTACAGTACGTTACGCGCTGTACATGATTATACACGATTTTCGATATATATTATTTACATTAACTGGACAGGAATTTATTATAAACGGATAGAGTTTTAAACGAAAATAAATTGTTTATTAAGTAGTAAATTAAGAAACGACGAAGGAAATGTTATTAACAAATTAACAAATTTTCANTAATAATTTTAAAAAATTATGTATAAATAGTTTTTAAAAATAATTATTAATTAATAGAGATATTTGGAATTAATATTTATGTAATGAATGGCTTTAAGTGTTCATACATTATCAAGATCCAAGTAATGAATTTATTGAATAGACCTCTTGATAATATTTAGAATATTGTCTCCAGGTAACTAATAACTATAATAAAACGTCGTTAACACCAACAGTTAGAATTAGATAGACTTATCATGTAACCATTAGGAATAACTGAATACCAAACAACAATAGCCTTAATTATATCCCAAATAGCCAATGGTTATAAGTAGATACCACCAGACAATCCATAATGTAACTAAAAACTAATAAGCAATCAATAATAACGGAATGTAATGAATAACCAATAACTATAAGATACCGAATAACTTATAGTCATTATTAGATACCAAGTAACTTAACTACTACTCAAAGTTTGATATCAAACAGGCAAATGACAGTAGCTACTGTATATAACTGGTTACTAACTTACCAATAACTATAACTAAATGTCGTAAGTAACCAATAATCATAATTAGATGCCAGATAAACAGTTAAAATTAGATATGGTTTATTATCATCAAGTAGGTGTAACGAGCCTAAATGAATATTTAAAATGATTAAATTTCAAAGTAATAATCAATAATCATATTAAAATATAATTTACTCATATTAAATAAAAAAAATAATAAATTAAATCAACCTCTTCTTTTTAGTTCGCTTTATATATTATATTAATCCATCATTCACGTCTCTCCTCGAAATTTAAAATTCCTAGTAGTTATAAGAAGCGCCTTAATTATTCATTACTTATTACCCTCAGTAATTTAAAATTTTAACCAGCACCGAAATTTTTGAAGTTAAAAATTTAATTATTAGCATACATTTATACGCATAATTTATATTTTTCCATGCAAATCAATTAAATATATTATAGAACATCATTCATTTGTCGTGCGTTTTTCTGTCTCGGTTGTCATAATTCTATTTAAAAAAAGAATGTTTCAACAGATTTTATTCAATAAAAAAAAAAGTATATCTTTAGCGACATTACAATTTTTTTATTGAATATAGTGCAATAAAGCAATAATAATAATAAATATATATGGTATGTAGGAGAAAGTTTTTCGGTTTAGATGATGGTGCAAATAATAATAGTACGGGGTTGTAAACATCATTGTTCAATAACGTTTCGTAATTGTCGAACACGTAGATGTTTAGATGGTATATAAAGCATTATCCGCTCCGTAAAAATCTACTTGGAAATCGTCGATATTTTGTAACATAACAGAATGAAATGACCGCTTACAAATAGTATAGTGTACCAGTCTGGTGCTTGGTTGCTTTAACTTCGATTGGGATGCGCCATCATAAACATGGAGGAGAACGGAAATGGTGGAAAAGCAGTAAAAGTCGATGCTGCTCGAATTTCTACGAAAGTATTATCGAAGCATCGATAAACCGTTTTATGTTATGTTACATATAAAAATATATATGTATTATATGTTCGTGTACGAGGAGTTTTTGAAAACGTATGCTTTATAATCGCTTATATATCTTTGACCCGATTGTCTGAATATTTTAATAATTATTAAAAGCTGTTTAGTGCGATGCTAATTCGTTGAACCATTTACTGTTCCGTGAGGTTTCTAAATTTGGGAAGAATTTCAGGATTTTTGGAGGAAAGGGAGATGAATACTTGGTGAGCAACGCTTCCTGTCAACCGTGATTGATAACATTGCAGCTTTTCTGAAGGCCCTCATGAATAGGCCGTTCTCCCCCTCATTTTAGGGTCCGCCACAAACACAACATTGCTCTCTTTGAAAGCTACCGACGTGTACCTCCTAATCAACAGGGAACTTGGGGCAAACTAAATTTCTGATTAAATCGAAGCGCGATAATCGAAACCAACCGCTACTACATCTTAGAACTTTGTGGCTAGATTATTTACATCATTAAACAATTTTCGTTCGAAATTTTAACAAATTTCTTTATTTTACTGCGAATAAATTAACGTATAATAGATTACACCTATGTTGTTTAATCAATTTTGACAGAGCGTAATGTTTGATATTAAACGGTTCTTTAATCATTTATAGGTTTTTTTAATGAGTTGAAATAGTAAATTTTTATACTAACGAAAGTCATACATATTAAATAAAATATATCCTGTATAATTTAGCATCATCGGTTTTCCGTATGTCTGACTGTTTGAGACTTAATGCTGCTTCACCCAATTGTGTTAGACGACCGTTACTATCCAAAAATAAAACGTCTATATGATCCCTGTTTCCGTGGTAACCGAAATAATTTTAAAACGGGAAAGAAAATTGTGTTTTACACGACGAAATTAATTAAGTTAAATTAAGTACGAGGCTACGCGTTTTTCCATCAGAAGAGTCATCAACTAAACAGGTCGTGTTTAGCTCCCATTTCAAACGAATGCAGGAGAGTGAATTGTTTGGATGGGCGGGCGCCTGTTGAAAGATCAATTGAAGATGCGAAGTAGATAGTTTTATAGTTTGTTTAGTACAAAATGGATAAAAGGAAGGTCAACTTTAACTTTCTATTTACATGGGAACAAGCCGGCAAAATCGATTTAAGCTGTAAATTTTCTGACTTAAAATGAATGATTTTGGGTTAAACACGCCGAAGCATTTTGTGATAATTAAGTTAAACATTAAGTCGAAGCTCTCTATGTTATTTAAAAAATGAAATTAATCTTTCTACAAGCCACTTCCTATAGATTATTAGCTTGAAGAAAGAAAAATAGTTTCGTGGAAACGCATAATCGATAATAGTTCGTGCAAAATATTTTAGTGATGTGAGAAAGAAATGTGTGGGATAAACAGAATGTCCCAAATTTGATATTCGATCGAGTCACGACTTAGAAAGCAATCAGTGTGGCAACTATTGTTTGCAAGTAGCGAGCGGACGGTAATAAATTGTCGATAGTGCTGCTTGATTAGAATGCAAAACGTGACACCTTCATATGTCATACTGTTTGCTATGAAGGTAGACTAACTTCAACTTGATATGTAGCGTGTCGTCGTAGACACATGTTTCTACACCGTCACGAGTATTTGAGGTGAAATTGGATGGCCGAACAATTGGTTAGATGCGGAATGAAGTCTTCATCTATCTGCCATTGTGATGATTTGCGATGGAGAATGCCTTGAATTCTAATGCCAAATTAATCATTATATTTTTGCAATGCCGACGTAATAATTTTGTCTTTGCACGCTGTTGTTTGGACGGGAGGGGAAGAATGAAAAAAATCGATATTATTTAATTTAAGTTTTACAGAACAATTTAGGGCTATTATTCTAAAGAATATTAAATGAACAAGAATATAAAATGTTAAGATCAACGAACTATAGAGAAACAAAATTAAATGTCACGTTTGATATTTTATTCTCATCACGATTTTATTTTAACTTGTACATGTAAAAATTTAATTCACTTTTCTCCATAAAAATTTTGCCGAAATTATAAACCATTTTTTCTTATTTTTTATTTTTAATTTAACAAATTATTTTATCTGGCAAAAACTTTTTCGACTTAACATTTTTAGAATGTTAAGATTCTTTAGAAAAACATTTTCAGAGATTCTTGCAAGCTGTTGATTTTTTCTCTCGATAAATTTTTCCAGAAATTGTTTTCTTTTTTATTTATTTTTTTTTACATTCCCATTCTCTTCATACATCTTTATGAGGAAAATATTATTTCTAGTCTTTACAGTAATTTAAAGTTATTATATTTTCTATACATTTTTATTGGTTTATTCAAATTATTTTACAACATATTTTCGAGATTGAATGCGGAAAATTAAAAAAAAAAGCTGAAATTTTTATCAATATTTCCTTTAAATTTTATATTTATTATAACTTAATAATTTTATTTGATTACTTTCTACAAAGAGTGCCCTGGAAATAAATTTTCTACCCATTAATGCATTTTTATAACAGAAAAATCAACTTAAATTCTTTTTAAAAAACCTAATAGTTCTATTAATTTTTCTCATTTAAAAAAAAAAACCTTTGTATCAATCCATACAATCCAATTTTATTAAATAAAATTTGTAACTATTATAAATATTACAAGATATTTTTATTCTAACTAAACAATATTCAATCATTTGAAAAAAAAATTCTTTTTAATAAAAATTTCTATTTAAATTTTAATAGGATGAACAGAAGAGAGTAATAATTCTCTCGTTAATTGAATCGTTTAAGGCTTGATACAAACTTTTTAAAGAACAAAATAATTTTAAATTGATGATAAATAAGTCTATTATTTATGATTAAAAAAAATAAAGCAGAAAATATATAAAAAAATAAAATAAATTTTCTAGAGAAAATTCAGTTTTTACAAAATTAATGCTGCACTGAATTATTTAAATACTATCATTACTTAAACGGCTTATTAGTGTAGGTTTTTTATTTAATTTTAAATCTTATTTTATTTAAAAATGTATATAAAAAAATTATTTTACTTCCGAATTTTCATTTTAATTTTGTATTATTTAATGATTATTAAAATTTACCAAAAATATTATATAATTTAATTTAATAGTTTGATCTTATATAGATTTATATGATAACTATATATGATTTTTTAATCTTTTATTACAGATTATATATTAAATATGACTGAATAATGATGTTAGTGATGTAATCAAGAAAGCCTCATATCCCTCGTGGCCGAATTTTGCGGCAGGTAAGTGTTCTTTCAGTATGATCGATTTTTTCCTTAATGATTCTTTTTCGTGTATTTATATATATGTATGTATATATAATAAAAGTTATATGACATTAGTTAATTACATCTCAATAATTAAAATACTCTTATCAAAATTTTAAAAAGAAGTCATTTAGTTTTTAATATGAATACTTTAGATTTTGTTTATTGCTCAGGTTCGAAAATATATACGGTAATCATATTTTTCGACAAAAGTTTTTCACCTTATTTTCGCATGGCTGATTCCATTACTTGAAAATAAAAAGTAAAAACGCTAGTTTGCATTTATTTTTACATTAGAACTTCCATTTAAACAAGATCATACTGAAGTCTAAATGGTTTAAAGACGGTTGGTTACATCTTAAGAGATAGAATTACTTAGTTGCAGTTTTTCTTTGGTTTAAACATAGAATGGCCGCCTTTCTATCTTTGTATACACTTTATACCTTCTGTAACTAAGTTGATTCTCCCGTCTTTGTGATAAATTCAGTAAAGTGAACAGGGTGAAAAAAATATGTGATAATTGAGACAAAAATAAAATGCAGTTCTGTCTAGTAACTATGTTCTCTATAGTTTATTCTTTAATACATTGATGCTTTAATTGAAGAGATGAACTGTAAGATTACAGAATACAAGTAGTTTTGTGTGCTATTTATATTATGTTTTATACGTTTTTCTGTACGTTTGCTGAATGTTCTATTGACTTGTTATCTATGTTATGTTATGTGAACCGTAAGTAAATATAATAAACTTAAGATATTAGAGGAGACAAAATTAAGTTAATAGATAGGTTTTGATAATTTTTATATAAATAAATCCTCTTTTGTAATGTTTGCAAATTATCAGTTGAAAAAATCTCAATGAAGATTGCTTGCAATTACAATTGTCGTATTGACAATTGGTTGGAAGTAGAATCAGATAAAGATACATTTACTATTGTCTTTCTCTATTTCCTTGGCTAATTGCCGTTAAGGCAATTGTACTTTTAATCAATCAGCCATTAGTATATTCTTTAGTTAATACAATATTTTGTGTACATTTTAGAGAACCGCACACACTCATAGAAACTAATTTTATTTACTTCATTATCTTCGATGTTATTATTGTATTAATGCACTGTTCTGTCTATATACGATCTATGCTGTAGTTACTATAATTCCTAATGTCCTTGTGCATCCTAGCATCTTTGTCGAGCCGTATCTAGGACACAGCAGAATATATTGTCTTGTGTTTCATAATAACTATGCGATGAATGAACTGTAATTCTATATGCTAAGTGCATTATAATACTCAAAGTGCCGAATGTTATGTAATATTCATGTGCCATATAGTATCAATGTTCTAACTATGGAAAGCAGTATAGTGTGCATTAATACCACGTAGATCTTTCTTTTTATATTTCAAATCATTACTTGGACCTTTAAAACTTTCGAGAAAATGGAAATGCATTTAAAGTAAAGAATCCGAGAGAAATTTATATTAAAACTTGATGTTTATTCGGTAGAAGAAAGCTTTCGACATCTCTCACAACTTGAAGTATTGTAGAAAAGACTTCGGTAATTTCCCCTGATGCCTAAAACACGGAAATGACACCGCTAATGTTGGGAAAGTGCTTTAGAATTATGACGGGTCGAACCTCTTTTCTCGTCTAACTTGCCGAAGGTTATTCTGGTTTTTATCACATTCGCTAAGCTTCAACTCCATTCCTAATGTAAGAAATGTTTATCATCTTCGGCTCTGATGAAAACAAGTCTAAATTACACCTTGATAGAGTCGGCTTTATTTTTCTCGCTATTTTTTTTATGCTATTAAATATATATACATGCAGTGTATGTATATATATATATATATGAAATTTGACAGTGTATATATCAATATATACATTGTCAGACTTTTTTCTGTTTAAATTCAGATTTCTATCGTTGCTAACGAGTCAAGCAATTAGATGTAATAAATGTAATTTCCAGAAAGGAAATGTCATTCGCATTAATAACATCTTAACGTCAACTTATCTTATCTAATACCAAACCTTTCAAATTTTCTTTATTCGAAATCTTGCAACTTTCAGGAAATTAAGTTTCTTATAAAGTTGAATGAAAAATCGAACCGTCAGATCTTATTTTTTTAACTCCTGTTTTTTTCTCTAGTAAAATAAAAAATGATTTTAAAAAACGTAAATTCCAGATATAAATTTTTTTTTATAAATATAATGCAATAAGATGTTAATAGTGCTTTACATAATTGTTTTACCGTTAACAAACTGTTAAATTAATTCTGTTTAAAAAATGTTTATAAAAGAAATTAAATTTTATTTTAGAGGAGAAAAACCGTATATTTTAACCATATAAAATTTAGTTAAACAATTAGCAAAGATCTTAACAGAAATAGCCTGAAGATAAAAAAATAAACAAATAATTCGACAATAAATATATGAATGTGGATTTCCATGAAAATAATAAAAAAAATCTCATAAAAAATACGTAAAATTACAATGAAAATCTGCACAGTAACTGCAGATTTTTATTGAATTTAATGCATTAAACTAATCTGTTATTAATTTTAATAATTATATTTATTAAAATAGAATCCTAGTTTTTTCACTTTGCTTCTAGACAATATTTTTTTATAATAAAGTAGACTTTAATATTTTAAAATAAATTTTTATTTTAAGATGAATATATCTTACGCTTTTAATAAATTTAAAAGAAATATATGTTTTAAAAATATATATGGAAATTTTTTAAGCTTGCATATTTCTAAATATTTAAATTTTAAATCACAAATTTCAAGATTTAATACTTTAAAATTTTTATTATTTAAATATAAATGAATAAAACTTTATTTTTAATTTATGAACGTTCAGACAGGTTTTTATATAAGATTTAAAATTATTAAATATAAGTTTTTATATTTAAACTTTCTTTTTATTTTTTTTATTTTCAAATGTTTATAAAACTTTAACAATTTTCTTTTTATTTTTCTAATCCCGTGTTAAATAGAAAAGAAAATGTTTTTAACTTTATGCTTGACTGATTAAAATAAACCTATCTATGAATCGACTGACTGGCTGGAAAAGATTGATTTCGCACTTTAGATATACTTTCCCCCCTAGCTGCCATTCAATTAAAAATCAATTAGACTCGAACATGACTTGGTAATAAAAAAACAACCGAATAAATTAGCATAAGCAATTTTCTATGTTTAATTTTACAAGTAATAAATCTGAAATTTTTTTTATAATTCGTAAATTACGTTTTAATAATCGCGTAAAAAGGTTTGTTTTTATTAAAAAATGCATATTTTTTTCCTAATCGAATTAATCAAATAATTACTACATAAAAGTCTAGCCTGGAGCGACAGGAGACGATCTTCTTTTCTGGAACAGGAATTAGACTCCTTTAGTCGATGGTTAATTTGAAGACACGCCTACGTTCTCCATCTCTTCTTCTCGGAAGAGTCCCCAAAAATGTACGAAATAGAAAATTAATCGTTGGAAACGCAAAGGTCGTCTATTAATAAGGTCTTTTCTCCTATGAAATTGTGTTGTTATACTTGTTACAAAATTTATGTAGAGCTATTCCGTGAGAAATCTTTCTGATGTAGAAAGGAGTTGATCTTTTGTACAGATTATAACGAATACTCATCATTTTTTTGCATCTTCGACCACCAAAGTTGCCAGAAATGATAAATGAAAAATATCTAGCAGATAGAATTGGCGTATTTAATGAATGTATGATGAACTATCTGTTTGACAAGTTGTAATCGCGTGTATGGTTGGATGCGTTCCTCCATCCAATTTATTACCTCCAACAACACAGAATGGTTTCATTTTGAGCTGATGACGATGGTTTCAGATAGCTCACTTGGTTCATGCATTGACAACGTAATTATGTTTAACCAACAATAATTGCATCGAATCCGAAAGCCTAAAGTTACATCGATTGGCACTGAAGATTTAACAACATTCTATAGCACTGCAGTAATTATTATAGTGTTTAAAGAGCAGATATGATCGGTCATAATAATAAATGTTCTAAATTGGTACATCCAATTAAAATATTTCTTTAGAAACGCTCATAAATCTAAACGAAGTAACATTTGTCTGTCAGCTCATGTTTTATTATTATTTTCTTTACTTACAAGTTAGTGAGTAGTATCCTAGGCAATACTTACAGGAATATATATAAATAAAAGAGGAATTTTATTATGAGTCTAAAAATATTGACGATAGATCATATTTCCTCTTTCAGGGACTATTTTAGTTTCATTAAATGAGATCTTTTCACATTGAGAACCTGCATATGTAGAAGAAAAACCTTATATCGTAAATATTATATTGAAAATGCTACATATCGTACAACTATTAAAGTTATGATTGGATTCCCTAAAACAATGTATGGGTGTGCTTATCCTTTCACGATTCCAGCTGTACCCTATAGTAATACGTTGCAGTTTTATACAAGTGCCCATGTTTTATTGAAAATGGAAAGTTCCTGCTGTTTTGGGTGATACTTTGCCCGATATACTTTGCAAGAGAAATTCATATTTCTAAACTTGTGTCTTTTTGACAGTAAGATCTTCTATCTTGGACAGTATAGGAGTGTAGATATATTGAATTTTCTTTGAAGAAATCTTGACTTCCAGCTTATGTTCGAAATTCCATCTTTTATGTTGGATTTTTTCTAAAATAGAATATAATACTTAGATTTTAACTTATTTCTACACATAAAAGTCTGTATTTATGGTTTCGTTACAAATAAATTAATCAATATTTTATATTTTAATATTTTATATCTACTGTTAGATCATAGGCGTTAATTTGACTAAAATAAAATTTTTATGTAAGAGTATTGTGGCCCAAAAAATTTAGAGTAGTTCGTAAATAATATAAATTTATATTTTATTT